AAAAAAAAAAAAAAAAAAAAAAAAGAAAAGATCATCTTGATATAAAAAGAATTCTTATAAATTAGCAATTTAAAATTTTTTAAAATGACCAAAAAAATATATAAATGGTCACCAAACACCTGAAAAGCTACCCAACATAATTAGTCCTCAGAGAAATGCTAATTAAATCCATAATAAAATACCATTAGAAAGGCTAAAATTAGAAAGACTGAAAATACCAAGTGTTGGTGAAGATGTAGACAGCAACTAGAATTATTCTAAGCTGCTGATGGGAGTATAAAATGGTACCACTGCTTCGGAGGACCTGCCAGTAGTGCTTATAAATTTAAACATACATATCTACCTTATGACCCAGTAATTTCATTTCTAAATATTTTACCAGGTCCACTCCTAGCTACTACACAAGAGCAAGAAAAACATAAAGATTTGTACATGAATGTTCATAGCAATTTTATTTATAATAGCCAAAAAGCCTAAAGCAACTCAAAGGTGTGTGTTTGGCATTCTAGGAATCTTGCTCATTACTGCTAATTAAAAGAATGGCAATCAGCGGGGCATGGTGGTTTACACCTGCAATTCCAAATTTGGAAGGTCAAGTGGGTAGATCACTTGAGCTCAGGAGTTTGAGACCAGCTTGGGCAACACGACAAAACCCTGTATCTATAAAAAAATACAAAAATTGACCAGATGTGGTGGTACACACCTGTACTCCCAGCTACTCAGAAGGCTGAGGCAGAAGAATTGCCTGAGTCTGGGAGTGTAAGAGGCTACAGTGAGTTGTGATCATGTGACTGCACTCCAGCCTGGGCAACAGAGACTGCACTCCAGCCTAGGCAACTGAGCAAGACCCTGTCTTTAAACAAAACAAACAAAAAAAAGGAATGGCAATCATAGCTAGCATTTATTGAGCACTTACTATGTGCCGGGCACTATGGTATTAGAATGTACCTTATTTAATTGTTAAAAGAAGAACTTTAGACAAAATTATATTTACCAGAGTTTACTTGAGCAAAGAATGATACTCTAATCAGGCAGTCCCTCAACCAGAATCGGTTCATCAAAACCACTCAGCAATAAAAAGGAACTGATACTTGCAAAAGAACAGGGAAGAATTCCAGAAACATTAAGCAAAATAAGTCAGATGCACATACAAGAAAATACATACTGTATGATCCCATTTATATGAATTCTACGACAGACCAAACTAGTCAATGGCGATAGAATTCAGAAAATGATGGTGGGAGAGGAAGAGGAATTGATGGAAAGGGCACCAGGTAATACGAGTGTTCAACGTCTTGACTGTCAAACCTCAGGGGGCACTCAAGATTTGTTCATTTTATTGTATGTAAATTATGCCTCACTTAAAGAAAAAAGTACCAGTGCAGGGTCCTACTTGCCAGAGATACAGATTTAATGAATCTGGGATGGGGCCAGAACAAGGTTGTTTAGAAGAGCCCCCACGTGGTCCTAACGTGCAGCTACATGAACCACTGTCTAGTCCGGATCTTCACTTCCTCTTCCATTTAGCTCTATGTCCATCTCCACCATAAAAGTCTAGCTGGCTGGGCCTTAGGCATCGGCTCTGGCAGCCCTTAAACCTCTCACCGGAGGAAATGTAGCTCTGGCCAAAG